AGGCTGTCCTGTGGGCTGGCACGTCCCTGTGGGGGAACAGCCCTTTCCACAACCCTGGTACCTCCCAGGGCTCTGTTTTTTCCCTTGAGTGGCATCTTTTTGTGCTCTCTGATGCCATGATGGAACATCCTCCCCCAAAACTCAGCCTTGCCTGATGGTTTGGCTCTTATAGTCCATCAGTGGAGTCGTGGTGCAGCCCTGGAGGCTGAGAAAAACATGGAACTGTTAGAGTGAGTCCAGAGGAGGCCATGAAGATGCTCTAAGGGCTGTAGTCCCTCTGCTCTGCAGCCAGGCTGGGAGAGCTGGGGGGGTTCACCTGGAGAAGAGAAGGCTGAACCGAAGGCCTGAGAGCCCCTTCCGGGGCCTAAAGGGGCTCCAGGAGAGCTGAAGAGGGACTTGGGACAAGGGATAGAGGGACAGGCCAAGGGGGAATGGCTTCCCACTGCCAGAGGGCAGGGTTAGATGGGATATTGGGGAGAAATTCTTCCCTGTGAGGGTGGGGAGGCCCTGGCACAGGTTGTTCAGAGAAGCTGTGGCTGCCCCATCCCTGGGAGTGTCCAAGGCCAGGTTGGACGGGGTTTGGAGCAACCTGGGCTAGTGGAAGGTGTCCCTGCCCATGGCAGGGGGTTGGAATAGGGTGAGCTTTAAGGTCCCTTCCAACCCAAACCATTCCATGATTCTATGATTCCAAAGCTCTCTGAGGTCCTGTGTTGAGCTCACTGTGTCAGTACAAGCCCCACTGCTGGGCCTGAGCTCCCCTCCTTTAGCTCTCCTCAGGTTTGTGTCCCCAGGGCTGTCCCGGGATCTCATCCCAGTTCCCTGGAGCGCTGAACAAGCCCCACGGGCAGTGCTGCAGTACCTGGCAGGCTGTGGTGATGGGCAGGTGCTCCCACGGTCCAAGCTGACTATTTTCTGTTGCTTTTAGGTGGGAAATATGCTGAGAAATCAAGCCTGTTTGACACGATCCCCCTGCAGCGCGCGGGGAACAAGACGGAGATTGCCCACAGCAGCCTGTACCTGGCGAGCCCCCTCTCCTCTTATGTGACAGGAACCACCCTGGTCGTGGATGGTGGGAGCTGGCTCACCTCTGCCAACAGCTTCTCTGCCTTGCTGGGTATTGCCTCATCCTCTGCTAAACTCTAGGTGACGTGCATTTCCCCCCGGGGGGTCGGAGCAGGGCTCCTCAGGGAAACACTTTCCCTGTGGGACAGAGCACAAGTCTGATGCGGAGCAGCTGAGGGAGCTTGGGGGTTTAGCCTGGAGCAAAGGAGGCTCAGGGGGGATCTTTTTGCTCTCTACAAGTCCCTGACAGGAGAGAGGAGTCAGGGGTGGGTCAGGCTCTGCTCCCAGGGCACAAGGGACAGGACAAGGGGAAACAGCCTCAAATTGCACCAAGGGAGGTTTATATTGAATATTGGGAAAATTTCTTCACTGACAGGGTGGTCAGGCCCTGGCACAGCTGCCCAGGGCAGTGGTGGAGTCCCCATCCCTGGAGGGATTTAAAAGCTGTGTGGATGTGGCACCTGGGGACATGGGCTAGTGGTGGCCTTGGCAGTGCTGGGGGAACGGTTGGACTTAATGATCACAGAGGGCTTTTCCAACCTAAACAATTCCGTGATTCTCTACATGCATGGCTGCCATGGCAGTGGGTACGGTGACCTCATGGACACTCCTCGGGATGACTTGGGGAGGGCAGGAGAACTTGCTAGGTTTTTCCTTTGAGCCTGCATTGTGACATGGTGTTTCTTGTCATTCCCACTGGATGCTTGTCCAGACACCTCTGAGTGTCCCCCAAAGCAACATGATGTCCCTTTGCTGTGCCCCAGCAGCAGGACTGGGCACAGAGGGTCCCGACAGCCTCTTCCTTGTATGTGTTCCCCCCAGGCTGTCAGGGAAGGGGGTCTCCTTCCTTCCTGTCTCCCCTGCCTGTGTCCCACCCCACAGCCTCCATGAGCTGGGCCTGGTGAGGCAGGACTCTGTCCCCACCTCCACACTCTCTTGCAGATTTCTGGTCTGCAGGAGCAAACCAACCCTGATGATGGACAGCGTGGGACTGACCGATGGACAGACGTGACCGAAGCTGCCCTGGGACACCCTGGGGTGACACCTCTCCTAGAGCAGGTGCCCACGGCCATGGCTCTGATTGGAAACTGGTGGTGGTGGCACTGCCAGCCCTGTGTCTGCCTGGGGGACAGAGCTCAGGGGTTACTGGGTGGGAAGCAGTCCCACCCCCATCCTGTGCCTTGACTGCCTTCTGAGCTGCTGTGGCTGAGGGTGCAGGGACAGCACAAGGGGTGGGGCTGTGATGGTCACTGTCCCTTTGTGTCCCTCTGAGCCGCTCTCCTGGCCTTTCCCAAGTCCCAGGCAGTGCCACCCTGGGATATCCATCCTCTTCTCCCCCCATCTCAGCCTGAGAACTGCCCAGGACCCCCAGCAGCAGCTCCTTTGAGGGAGGGGGAGTAGCTCAGCTCACCTGGGGTCAGAATTGCCCAATGTGGCAGCTCTACCTTTGCAGCAGGAGCCAGCAGCTCTCAGAGGGGAAACAAAGACCAACTGGCCCCTGGCAGGGAGAAGTGGCCTCATCCCCTCCGGGGGTCCAGAGTAGGCATCCTGAGGGCTGCCATGGATGCAGCTGAGATGCCCCCCTCCCAGGAGCAGAGGTGGTGTGGTGGCAGATCCTCCCCGAGGACTGGGATGCCAGCACCCCGGGGGCACACACTACTCCCATGCAGCCTCCTGCTGCTGAAGGCAGTTTTTAGCCTCACTCTGAATTCTATGAAGCTTGTTTTCCCACTTAATTGTGTTTCCTACTTGATTGTAAACTTGCCAGGTTTTGCTCCTTCCTTCAGGTCACGAATAAAGAATTTGCACCCTGAGCAGTGATGATTCTCTCTGAACAAGAGCAGCTGCAGCACCTACACCCTGCCCTGGGGGCTGGTCCTGGTGTTGGGTCCCGAGGGAGGGGGGAAAACCGCTGCTCCCACTGCCAGAGCCTTGTGTGGCCCTAGTCCTCAATGCTGTGGTGTTGCAGTGCTCCAGGCCGGTGGGACGTGGGGACCCTCCTGAGCCCCAGCCTGCTCTGGGAAGGTGGGCCCAGCAGCCAGAGGTGACAGGGAGGTGCTGAGGTATTTGGTGAGAGACTGACCCCTTCAGAGGGATGGGGATGGAGGGCTTAGGTCGGGATCTGGGGGTTGTCCTTTGCCCAGGTCTCCTGGGATTTGCTTCCAGCTAGGATATCCCTCTTCCTAGATAACAGGACATGTATTTTCTCCTGGAGAAGGTACCTGTGTGGGATGTGTTGGTCCTCGCTGACCTGCATCCCCGTTGTGGGAGTGTCTGTGTGTTTTACTGTCATATTTAACCACAGCCAAGTGACTTGGGCACTGTCAGGGCTGTCCTGGCTCCGTGGCCACCAAAGGAAGAGGGAACCAAGCCCCTGGCCACATGCCTCCAGCACCAGGGGAAGGACAGAGCTTCGAGCCCAGCCTTGGGCATGTCCTGGAGCTGCAGGAACACATCGAGGGGTGCAGAGCTGCTGCTCACAGCGTCAGGCTGGGCCCTCCAGCCTTGTGCAGGCTGGATCCCTGGGTGCTTGAGCTGTCTGGAAACTCAGAGTTGCAATGCCCAGGGGATTTTGCAGGGAGTGGTTTAGGCAGGTGTCTTCCAGGGAGAGCAGCTGTGCACTTCCCCCTGTGGGACTGACAAAGGAGCCCCCCTCCTGCCCTGCTCACCTTTGGAAATGGCTATGATGAGGAAAAGGATTTGAAGTGGAGGTTTCCATCCTTCCCAGCACTGGACTGATTGGACAGGGGTGATATCCTCTCCAGAGATGCTGCTGAACTCCAGCTCTTGGGGTCAAGCTGTGAAGCTTTGGGAAAGCCATGCTGGGGGACACATTGTGGCCCAACCAGGCTCATCCCGAGCCGTCACGCACATCCATGGCCTGGGCAGGGTCACTGTGGCCAGGGATTCTCTTGCTCATCAGGTTTGCTGCTAATTATACCCAGGGGCTGTAATTTCACCTGGTCAGCCAGTTCACGGGTGTGGCAGTGGGGTCATCCCAGTGCTCCAGCAGAAATGGCCAGTTGTCTGAACCCACAGGCTGTGAGCCCTGAACTTGGGCATTAATCCATGAGGTGGTCCCAGCTCTGTGTCCCAGTGCACGGTGCCCCTCACCAGACGGGGTTGGGAGTCCTGGTGCACGGTTCATCCCCCCAGAGGGGTTTGGGGTCCCAGAGCATGATGCCTTCCTTGGAGGGGTTTGGGCATCCTGATCCATGGTTCATCCCCCCAGAGGGGTTTGGGGATCCAGGTGCACGATTCCCCCCAGAG